TTCTCCTTTATTTAGGGGACATGCTCTCCTTTGACCCTCCACCTCCTTCATCCTTTGGCCTACTGGCTTCAAACCTGCATATGATGTCCTCTACCTCACCTCCTCTCCCTCTCAGGGTCCCCTGGGTGCAGCCAGGCTCTGCAACAGTTAAAGGAGCCTAAGACCTACCCTGGCCTTGGGAAATGCAGCCATTTGAACATGGTGGCTTCTCAAAATATTAGATCCAGCGTGGATGGGGAGCAACAGGGGAGAGCCCAGCAATAGGTCATGACCAGATTGTTGAGGGTGTGGCAGTCAAAGGTCAGTAGTTGGGCTCTGGACTCAAGGAATGGAGGACTAGCTAAAGGTTTTACATAGAAAGCACACATCATGTGTGGGTCTTGAAAAGATCACATGAGTGATGGTGGGGAGCAAGAATTTCTTGGTGGATCCTGCTGTAGATAGATGGGAGAGGCATCTGGAAAGCAGAAGAGGAATACATGAAGCAAGTTGGAAGGCTCAGACAAGTTCAGTGATTGTCTTGAGTTCACACAGTTAATGGCAGAGCCTGGACTTAAACCCATCCTAACATGAAAAGCAGTGACAAGTCAGCCATCTAAAGATTGCCTTCACGTAAGTTCGCAGCCACCTCACAGATTCTGTTTTATAGATGAGGGAAGCTGAGAGCCTGAGAGGGCAGTCTCCATGGGTTTGCAAACTGAAACAAGAAACTGCAGCACCTGAACAGGGCCCAGTGAAGACAGTTTGGTTAAGCATTTGTTGAGCGTCTACTACATGCCCTGGACACTCTCCTCAAGGAGCTCAATCTGGAGAGTAAATAAACACAAGTGAAAAAAGTCAGCAAGTCAAATACTATATGATGTCACACGTGGAATCTAAAAAAATCAAACTCAAAACCAGAGAGCAGAAAGGTGGTTGTGAGGGGCTGGGGTGGAGAGATGATAAGGGGATATTGGTCAAAGGATACAAACTTGCAGTTATAAGTTCTGGAGATCTAATGTGCAGTTAATACTGTATTGTATACCTGAAATTTGCTAAGAGAATACATCTTAAGTGTCCTCAACACTCACCAAAAATAAGTAATGAGGATGTGTTAACTGTTTGATTGTGGTAAGCATTTCCCAATGTATATGTATATTAAATCATCACATTATATACCTTTTAAGAATCATGTTGTGCAACCTAAATATATACAATTTTTATTTTCAATCATACCTTAATAAAGGTGGGGGAAATAAAGACTATAAGAAAAAGAAAATGTGTGTTCATTATTAGGAGTCTATCCTTAAGTAGCTGAGAGTCATGGTGCAAATAGAATTGCATCTTCAGTTCTGCAGAAACTTTGAATCTTAGGTGAGAGAAATTACTAGAAAAGAAGGGAAAGTCAGAGAGAGGTCTAGCATTTTCCTAGACTGCTCTTCACATGGCACTATGATGCAGCTTGATGGGCATGGGTTTAGGATTCAGACCAAATCAAGTAACTATCTTGATCCTGCCACTTTCCCTCATTCAACACACGAGGGCCTGTCATGTTCCAGGAAATGACGAGCTAAGTGGTGACCTGACAACCTTTTTGTACTTCATTTCTCTCATCTGGAAAAAAAGTAATACATATCTCAATAAACAAGATGTAAATAATATATACAACATCAGCTCTGTGTCTGAGCCTGTAGGGCTCTCAGGACCCTGAGTTTCCATCCCTGACTGGTCTCATCTAATTCCCAATAAGATAAGGCAACCCTGGCCCACACTTGGTCTGAGGCACTGGATTGGCGCCCAGCTTGTTTTGTCTTTTCAGAACTATACCAGGCATTTGGCACTCCCACCAGCTTGGCCAGAGAGCACATGGAAGCAGAGGCAGTGTCTCCCAGGCCTGTGTTGGTATCGCCGGGTTGATTAGTTGAGCAAAGCAGAAACCACTTAAGTATCTAGTGTTCCTTCACAGCCATGCTGTCTGCCTCAGAGCAGTCTTCCCACCAGCCTTACCTGCCATTAGTTAAGTCAGTTCAGATATTCTGTATGCAGTGGAGATGGGCAAGCTTGGTTTCTCTTTGCCACTGAAGAAACGTGTGCTCTATTTCTTCTCTATTGAAGACACTGAATCTTTTACAGGAACCATCTGGGCTCACTTTTGCTTGGGAAATGATTTTTCCCGGTATCCTACCTTTCGCCCATCTATGGCTCATGAGCTCATCCCTAGTCCTACATCCCAAGCAGCAAAGCTGGTATTGACCTGATTAAGCAGAAAAGGAATTAATTTATTAAAAGGACTAGAAGCCCAATGCATGAAATTCATGCATGGGGGTGTGGTGTCCTCTCAGCCCAGCCTGCACCCTCTCCAATCCGGATCCCTCTCACAGTCCTGGACCACAGGCTCCTAGTTGCTCACCTGCCTGCCTCCTGCCTGCCTGGTAACCCCTAACAGCCCCCCTTGCTGGCCAGGTTGCCCCCAACTGCCCCCCTCTGCCAGCCTGGTCACCCCTAATTGACCCCTCTGCTGACCTGGTTGCCCCCAACTGTATCCCCCCCCACTGGCCTGATGGCCCCCAACTGCACACACACCCCACCAGCCTGGTTGCCCTCAACTGTCCCCCTGCCAGCCTGGTGGCCCTCACGGCCTACCTGCCGACCTGGTTGCCCCACACAGCCTGCTGTTCAGTCTTTTGGTTGTCCCTCACTAACCCTCCTGCTGGCCTGGTCACAGGCAGCCATCTTGTGAGGGTGTGAGGGTTAATTTGCATATCACCTCTTTATTATATAGGCTATTGGCAGGGCTAGAGAACCAGGTGCCTGACCAGAGGGGAAACTTCCAGGAATGCTACCCAAAACCATGCTGCTGCCATCACAGAGCACTAGAGCTGCCATTTGTGTGCAGCCAGGAGCCCACCTACTGGGGGCCGCTACTGCAGTCAATGCACATGCTGCTTGCTGCATTTGGGAACACAACCTTGCAGCCACAGCTGGCCCCCAAAGCAAGTCAGATGCCTTTAGTACTGCCTTCCCCCGAGAAAACGTTTGCCTGGACATGGTTTTTCCTCATGTTTGTCACCTGCAACTTTAAACTGAGTTGGTCCAGTCCTGGAGCTCCTGATCTCCATACCACAGGCTTCCAACACAAGTATTCTAGCTTCCTTCTGGAAAAAAGCAGGACTCCTAGAGTGGAAAATTTTCCAAGCATTAGAACATGTCAAAAATAGCCAAAGACATGTGAAATGTCTACTTTCCACTCTATCCATAGGCTCTCATCAGTTCCTAGTCCTGTCTCCGATCATTGAGCCCAGACCCTGGGCCTTGTGTTAAGGCGTGGCCTGTAACGTCCTCCAGGGATCCAGCGAGTTCAGATGGGGCCCTTCGGACAGTGAACAGTAAGGGGATGCTGCCTAGGCTTGGGAAGCCCAGGGTTGGTTAGAGGAAGGTGTCAGGCTGTGGAGCCTTTTGGGAGGCCCCTTCCCAACTAGACTCATAAAATGTAACACCTGGGAAAGCATCTAGTGAGGGTACAAAGTCAGATGCCTACAAGGAGCCAGGCAGGCAATAAATGCGAGAAGCAGTCTGATGGTGGCTCTGCGGAAGATGCCATTTTAGACATTAAAAAGATTTTTTTAAATATATTTTTTTATTGATTTCGGAAAGGAAGGGAGGAGAGAGAGAAACATCAGTGATGAGAGAGAGAAACATCAGTGATGAGAGAGAATCATTGGTCTGCCGCCTCCTGCATGTCCCCTACTGGGGATCGAGCCTGCAACCCAGGCATGTGCCCTAGGCTGGAATCGAACCCGGGACCCTTCAGTCCACAGGCTAATGCTCTATCCACTGGGCCAAGCCAGCTAGGGCGACATTAAAGTTGTTAATTGGGGGGGGGGGGTAGTGTGCAAATGTTAAGAATTAGTGGTTGTCTGGAAGGGAGTGGGGGATAATGGAGTTGACTAGACAGGAGCAGCACGGAGGAACTTTCTAGAGTGATAGAAATGTTTTGCATCTTGCTTTGGGTGGTTGTTCCTTAGTACATACATTCATCAGATAAACTTCATCAAATAAATTCTTAAGATCTGTGCATTTTATCATATAGTAATTATACCTCATCTTTAAAGTTGGACACGTTTAAGTCTATCTAGAAGCTGACTTGGCTCTCAGACTACTTCTGCAAACTCTTGTTCGGACTTCTTTAAAATACGATGAATCACAGAGCCAAGCCGAGGGAAAAGTGGCTTTCTCGAGGGCGCAGGTGACTGACCCCTTCCTGGCTGCCCTGAGATGGCCTGCGGCCGGTCAGCCCGAGGATGACTACAGGGAGGTGTAGCCTGCAGCCTGTTCCTGTGCACGCTCACTCCTTTGCCTCTGGAGCGGTGCCAGCAGGCGGCGGTGCGAGCACAGCCTTCCGGCGGGCCGTCCCCGGGGATGGGACCGGTCTCCGCCCCAGCCTGAAAGTGAGACTGTCACCTGAGGCGGCGCAGAGGAGCGGAAGTGGCTGCGGCGCCGGGCTCCCGGGAGCACCGGCCAGGTGCGCAGATGAATCACGGCCACCCACTGCGCCCGCACTTCGGGCTCTGGGCCCTAGGGCCAAACGCCGCCGACGCCTCGCTCCGGGGAAAAAAAATCTGGTCCAGGCGAGGCCGCTGCGGTGCAAAGCGAAACCCACCTGAAGGGGGGGGAGGGCGGGGAGCGGCCGCCGGCCGGGACGGAGCCCCCTCTGGAGCCGGCGCTTCGGACAGTTACCTAAGTCTTTCTGGGCCACCGCTCTGCCTGGGGAGGTACAGGCATCTGCGCTTTTCAGTGGGAAAATCAAAGCTCTCCGCAGCTTCCCGGAGTGCTACGCAAGGACTGAGTTAGGATCCCGAGCCCGGCGGTCTGACCCCAAATCCTCGCTGCTCACTCCCCCTCGCCCAGCGGCGCGTAGGGGACCTGCGGCTCCAAGCCCATCCCGAAGCAGACGTGTTCCCAGTGCCGATGTAGGCGGTGCGCACAAGAAGGCCGCCGCCCGGGCGAGAGATCCGCGCGAGAGGCGGGGGTGGGGAAGCGCCGTGACCGCTCCCCGGGCCGAGCGACCCGCCGGGACCTTCCGGAGCGGACGCTCGGAGCCCGGCCTTCCCGCCGGCGCCCGCGCTGATTGGCGCCCGCGGCGGCCCCGGCTCGCGCACCTGCCCAGCCCAGCCAATCGGGGCCGCGGGAATCGGGGCTGTCTTGGGGGGAGAGGGGGGTGCGTGGTGGGGGGGCAGAGGGGGAAGCTGATGCTGCCGGCTGGATGCTGAGCCGCTCTTCCCGCCGAGCTCCCGTCGGGCCCGCCCCACCCGGAGCCCCCTCGGCGCTGCGCCCCGCGCCCCGGGCCCCCTCGGCGCTGCGCTCCGGGCCCGCGCGCCTTAATGCGGCAGCTCCCACCCGGCGGCTCCGGGGCTCCGCTGCCTGAGACGCGCCCCGACGGCTCCCGGAGCGGCCTGCCGCCGCCGCCGCCGCCCCCCGCCGCCCGCCGCCCTCGCCCGGAGCCCAGCGCCCCTGCCTGCCCGGGGAGTGCGTGGGCCGGCCCGGGCCGGGGGCAGCCCCTCTGAGGCAGGATGTTCACGTCCAAGTCCAACTCGGTGTCGCCCTCGCCGTCCCTGGAGCAGGCGGACCCGGACGCGCTGGACATCAGCACCAAAGTGCAGCTGTACGGCGTGCTGTGGAAGCGGCCCTTCGGGCGGCCGTCCGCCAAGTGGTCCCGCCGGTGAGTGCGCCGCCCGCGCCCCTGGGCACCGCCCGGGCGGGGTCCGGGGCCTCGGGACCCTCTCCCATTCCCTTCCCTACCGCGCTGCCTCTCCCTTCCTCTGTGACCTTGGGCTCGCCCCCTTCCTCTGCAAGCTGGGTGCCTGGAAGTCGTGGGTCCCAGACTGTGTGGGTTCTCATCCTGCCCCCGGGGCTGGGGAGCTGGGCGGCCCCGCCGGCCGCGGGGGGGGGGGGGGGTGCTCTGTGGAAGGGGTTCAGGCTGGGTGCGGAGGGTGGTGTGGGCTGGAAGAGTTCGCGGCCGCGGTAAGAGCGGGCCGGGCCGGTTGGGCCAGGCTGCTGCGGGAGGAGTAGCTCCGTCTCCAGCCAAAGGCAGCCTCCTGGGACCCCACGGCCCATTCCGCCGCCTGCACAGCACCCTCCCCGCACAGCACCCTCCTCCGCACAGTACCCCTCCCCCGCACAGCACCCTCCCCCGCACAGCACCCTCCCCCGCACAGTACCCCTCCCACACAGCACCCTCCCCCGCACAGCACCCTCCCCCGGCCGCAGAGCGGGCTTGGAGGCGCCGCTGGGTGTCGGACCTCGCACCCTCTCCTACCCCCTACCCCGGCACACTGAGGGCGCTTCTGGAAGACTCAGGCAGGGAGGGCGGAAGGGCCGGGAGGATCTGTGCCCAGCCTAGATGAGCGGATGTTGGCAACCCCTCCAACTAGACATTGAAATAATCTTTAAAAATATTTTTATTGATTTCCGAGAGGAAGGGAGAGAGAGAGAGAGAGAGAGAGAGAGAGAGAGAGAGAGAGAGAGAGAGAGAGAGAGAGAGAGAAACATTCACGATGAGAGAGAATCATGGATCGGCTGCCTCCTGCAAGTCCCCCAACTGGGGATGGAGCCCACAACCCGGGCATGTGCCCTTGACCGGAATGGAACCTGGGACCTTTCAGTTCACAGGCCCACGCTCTATCCACTGAGCCAAACCGGCTAGGGCTGAAGTAATTTTTTTTTTTCTTTTAAAGTAAAACCTGGGCCGTGGGAAAAGAGATCCCAGCCCTGGCAGGTGTTTCTCAGTGGTTAGAGCGTAGGGGGTTCGTCCGGGGTTTGATTCCAGTCAAGGGCAGGTACCTAGGTTGTAGGTTCATCCCTGGCCTGGTTGGGGTCCTTGTGGAAGGCAACCAATCCATGGATCTCTCTCACATGGATGTTTCTCTCTCTTTTTCCTCTGTCTCCTCCCCTCCCCCTTCCACTCTCTCTAAAAATCACTGGGGGGAGGGGTTGATATTCTCGGATGAGGATAACAAGAGAGAGAGAGATTCCAGCACTTCAGGCAGAGAAGCTGGAACTGAAGGAGAGACTAAGCCGAGGGGAGGATCAAGTTGAGACTGAGGCGGTGTGGGGAGCGATGGATGGTTCCATCCTTCGGAAGGTGTGTGGGGGTCAGAGCAGCCTTAGTCTTTGGGCACTAGCTTCCTGGTCCCCAGCTCAGAGGCAGTAGCTGCTTTCCACTTAGGAATGGGCCTGAAAGGGATTGAAGGGAGGGGGAGCTCGCAGCCCTGAACTTGCAGGGAGCCCCCTGCGTTGGCTGGGAGCAGTGGGTCTTCTGGACAGTTCCCCCCTCAAGGCACCCTCAGATCTGAGATTCAGTATTGCAATGGCTTATAGATCTCGATCCTGCCAGGAGCCGAGGCGCGTGTCCAGATGCTCTTTCCCATCCCACACCCTGAGCTAATGTCCCCGGGACCGCCGGTCCTGGGGATGTGGTTGTGGGGGTTCTGATGTTCTATTTTGATGAATAATTTAATATTTCTACAAGACCACAGAACAAATGGAGCTGTGGGTGGTATTTCTCCATTTACCCATTTAACGTGGCTGGTTTCACACACACACACACACACACACACACACACCCACGCTTTTATTAGCCCTGCCAGGCTTCTCTCTGGGATTTAGTGGGATATAGGCTCCTTGAGTTCCTGCGAAGTTAAGCTTCTCTTTGATCCCCTAATTGGAGGCCTGGGGCAGCCTGGGGAGCATCTTGGGAGGGGCTTCCCGCATTGTGCTGTCTGAGCTATAGGTCCCATGGGGTCAGGTCAGGAGCAGCCTGTCTCTCCCAGGACTCTCCAGTGGGGGCAGAAAGGTGCTTGTAGGTTCAGATTCCATCAGCAGCCCGCCTCCCCGCCCTCTCTCTCCTGCCTCTGTGGCTCCAGGCGGCCAGCGCTCCTCCTGTGGGTCTGGCTGTTGTCCTTGGTATTGCTTCTTGGTCTTGTCATCCAAGACTTCTCCTGCTGGGCATTTCCACCTGATTTCATCCCTAGGAAATGTGAGGACCCTCAGGATGTGTCCCTGACCCCTCTTCACCCACGGTGTGGGGGGCTGGCTCCTGCACCAGAGTTGATTCCAGGGCTGGGCGGTGCCAGCGACAAGGCTCCTGGCTGAAAGCACAGTAGTGAGGCCAGGGAGGGCTTGGAGAGCTGGAGCACCCCCCACCCCAAGAATTTCCCTCAGCACCCCCACAGCCACTCAGAAACCATCTGGCCTGCGAATTCCAGAGCTGCCACTGTGCAGACGCCCCTTCCTCTGGGGCTCAGGAAAGAACTCACATCCCTCCTGCCCACTCTGGCCTGTGTCCATGGTCACACACATGGTTTAGGAGCCTTGGGTCAGCAACAGAGCCAACCAGAGAGAGTCTGGGGTGGGAGAAGCATGATGCCATGCTTAGACCCCTCCCTTCCCAGCAGAACCCCCTGGGCCCCAGGTCCCCATTTGTGAAATGGAGGCTCTAGACCTCAGCTAATCAGCGGCCACAGGAAGGCTTGGGAGGGGGCAGCTCAGGCCCTCACCGCAGAGCTGTGCCATTAGGGCGATCGATGCCCTCGCTGGGCCGCTGAGGGGAGGGGGCCTGGAAAGGCTCCTGGGCTCCATAAATAAGGGATGGGCAGGATGGAGCCAGCTGTGACCAGCTGGGTTTCATAAAACCTCTTCCGCTGAGGTCTGTCTCAGGGCCTCCAGTCCCTGCCACTGAAGCAGCCCTTCCCTTTCTGGGCTGGGAGGATGACCTTGAGCTAAAGGGCCAGCTTTCTTCCCTTGGGCAACAAGAGGAGAAAGGAATCAAAAACATTCCTTCTCTGCTGAGCGAAATAAGCCAGTCAATGAACGAAAAGCACCGCATGATCTCATTTATGGATAATAAAGAACATTATAAACTGATGAACAAAAAGATAGATACAGGGATAGTAAAGCAACAAACAGACTGTCAAATTACAGCGGGAAGGTTAGGGAGATATGGGGGAGATAAGAGGTCAACAGAAGGACTTGTATGCATGCATATAAGCATAACCAATGGTCACAAAACTCTGGGGGGTGAGGACATGTATGGGAGTGGGGGGGCAATGGCAAGATATGTACATATATAATACCTTAATAAAAAAATGAAAAAATATATATATATTACTTTGCAGAGATAGAGAATCAGGGAGAGGTGTTTAGAGGGTAAGGTTGATGGCTGACCTCCACTTACTCTGCTATTGGCAAAAACCTTGGCAGCTCAGAGGCAAGGAGGAAAGGACTGGAGCGTCTCAGGGTCAACCCCACGGAGGGCCGGTCCAGCACACAGGTGAACTCATCGGCATTCCTTGTCCCTCCTTCCCCCAGCGGGTCCTGCCTCCAGCCCAGCAGCTCCTCGCTCTTGTGTGGCATTGGTAGGTCCCTGCCTCGGGGAGCTGATTCACAGTATTCACTAAGTGCCAGGGAACCCTGGGGCCAGTGGCTGCACCCCCAGACACCCCGCCCATTCTGTTCCTTCTGCCTGGAACGCATCTTCCCCTCCCACTTACTCCCAAGATACTCCTATTCATTCTTCAAAACCCTCCTCTCAGCATTCCCTTGGCCAGACACCTAAACCATTCATTCCTGCTGGTCTGCACTCCTTCTGTATCTCATCCAAACGTATAGTGTCTCAGGGTATCAGGGTCACTGTCTTGGTGCTTTTAAATATATATATTATTGATTTTTTAAAAATATATTTTATTGATTTTTTACAGAGAGGAAGGGAGAGAGATGGAGAGCTAGAAACTCTATGAAAGAAACATTGACCAGCTGCTCTCGCACACCCCCTACCGGGGATGTGCCCGCAACCAAGGTACATGCCTTTGACCAGAATCAAACCTGGGACCCTTCCGTCGCAGACCGACGCTTTACCACTGAGCCAAACCGGTTTCGGCAATATATTTTATTGATTTATAAGGGAGAGGGAGAGAGAGTGAGAAACATTGATGAGAGAGAAATATTAATCAGCTGCCTCCTGCACACCCCCTACTGGGGATGTGCCCACAACCAAGGTACAAGCCCTTGATCAGAATCGAACCTGAGACCCTTGAGTCCGCAGGCCAATGCTCTACCCACTGAACCAAACCAGTTAGGGCTGTCTTGGTGCTTTTATTATGCCACCAGGTACTTGGTGTTTTCCAGTGCCTTTGGGTATCCTGGTTCTTTACAGTCTTGCAGTAAACATTTAAATTGCCCAGCTCCCCACTTACCAGCTGTGTGATGTGGAGCATATTTCTTAACTTCTCTGTGCTCAGTACCTCTCCCAGGCCACGTGAGGAATGAATGAGTTAACGTGCATAATGATGCTACGAGAACAGGGCCTGGCACAAAGAAAGAGCTCGATAAACATCAGTTACTTTTTAGATTGTTGATTTCTATTCTCTCTCTCTCCCTCACTTGACCATAAGCTCCTCAAGGGCAGGGAATCCTCAAGCCCTAGGGCCTAGCATAGCACCTGGCTGTCCCATGTGGTTCCTTCATGCTCTCTGACCAGAAGTCACAGCAGTGCCAGGGGATGAGGAGGACCAGGCATCACCGAGCACAACACAGGGGACCTGGGCTTGTCAGCAGACCGAGGTCCCAGTTTGCCTCTTACTTTTGCTTAATCTCTCTGTGCCTCTCTGTTTCCTCATCAGTAAAACCTGAAAACAAGTATCTCCATCTTCAGAGTTATTGTGAGAGATTTACGTAAGGTAATGTCATAAAGCACTTAGCAAAGTGTGTGTCTTGGCACCTGTAAACGTTCCTTAATCTAGAGGTGAAAATACTATTTTTTAAGACTAGAGAGGGGAGGTAGTCAATGTTGACACGGACCCCTTACCTCCCTCACACTCTCCACCCTTCACCACAGCCCCGGGGGGCAGACAAGGAGGGTCCTAAGGGCTGGGGCTCAGACAGAGCCTTGCCCAGGCCTGGAGTTGGGCAGGCAAAGTGCTGTGTGTTTGGGGACAGGAAGCTGGCCAGCGGAGCTGGAGCCAAGAGCTCCCGCCGGTAGGAACTGTGTGCGCTCAAATGAGAAAGGTCAGGGGAGGCTGCCGCAGACACTGAGCCTAGTAATAATGAACATTAATAGTCCTGATAAAAGTCAGAGGTATTGAATATTTACCATACGTCACGCAGTGTTCTGAGACTTTATGTGAACAAGCTCCTTTAATTATTTGGACAATGCTAAGAGCATTAGGTACTGTTGTTATCCTCAAATGACACTGAGGGACCTGAGGCCCAGGGAGATGAGGTGACTTGCCCTGGCCACACTGCCGATAAGTGGCAGAGCTCTGGTCCTGACTACCCCAGCTCTGGTACCGACCGCCTCTGGTCCATCAGTTTCTTGCCCAGGTACCTACCTGAGGGAGGAAGCAGACTGTGATGGTGGAGCAGGAGCGGGGACTCTTGCCGTGGGTTCCAATCTCAGCTCCATCTCTGCCCTAGCTGTATGACCTTGCACACAATCCTTAACCTCTAAGCCTCAGTTTTCTCCTCTGTAAAATGGGAACAAAAAGCCCTACCTCCCAAGAGAGTTACATAGATCAAATAGTCTGATCCTTGTAGAGCACTTTGCAGGCAGCCGGCACAGGAGAACACCTAAATCTACGATGACTATCTCCAGCGCTTGCACAGCCAGCCCAGCTCTGCAGGGCCCGTTCGTTAAATCAATGAGTGACTCTTCCCCATGAGACAGAGATTTGCGCCCCCATTTTATAGAGGAGCTGGGAAAGGATGACTCGGCCAGCCTGGGAGCTTGCCTGAAGCCACGGCTGGAGGGAAAGAGATCATTGGACTCCGAGCCCTTGTTCTCTCTCTGCCTATGTGTCTAGTGATCGTCTGCCTGCCACCCCCAACCCAAGTCCCTGGCACGGTGCTCTGCTCTGAGTGGGGAGGAAGTCGGGAAAGCAAGAAGGTATTTGTATTCATAACAAAATACCATAGACGTCAGCATCTGTTAAACTGTTCCATTAAACCACAGAAATGCATTTCCTCGCTGTTCTGGAGGCTGGAAGTCCAAACCAGCCAAGTCAGGCTCTGGTAGGGATCCGCTTCCTGGTTGCAGACATCTGCCTTCGCACTGTCTTCATGTGACAGAGAAAGACAGAATGCTTCCTCTTCTTTATTTAATTTTTTTGTTAATCCTCACCTGGTACGTTTCCATTGATTGTTAGAGAGACAGAAAGAGAGAAGCATTGATTGGTTGCCTCTGGCATGTGCCCCAGACCAGGGCTGAGGATCGAGCATGCAGCCCAGGTACATGCCCTTGACCTGGATCAAACCCAGGACCTTCAGGCCTGGGCCTAGGCTCTATCCACTGAGCCACTCAGCCCTGTCTAGAGCCTCTGCAGGTTGGCGGAGTGATAAGCACAATCTCATGTGAGCCTCACAATGATCAGATGAGGTTGGTATTATTGCGCCCCTCCCCGCCCCCCATTCTACAGGCAAATAAACTGAAGCTGGCCCGGAGCAGCGGCTGCCAGGCTGGGAGCGGCCAGGCCCAGAGCAGCCGGGTCGGGTGCGGCCAGGCCCGGAGCAGCAGCAGCCAAATCCAGAGCAACTAGATCGGGAGCGGCAGTGGCCAGACCCGGAGCAGCTGGCTGTGGAACGAACCAGAGCAACAGAGGCCAGGCCCGGAGCAGCCAGGCCCGGAACAGCTCGCTCCTCGCCTGCCCCTGCCCCACAGCTGCCTCTCAGACATGGCTGGAAACTTTTGCGGGAACTTGAGGGTCTGCTGAATCAAGTGATGAAGGCTTAGATCTGGATTGTTGAGTTAGTATAGCACTGGGGTGTTGATCTGTGAGTGCCTTGGGTGGGGCCTGGATGAGGCTGGTTGACCTATTTGGAAATGTCTTTTGTGTGAAGTGTATCATTGGGCATGTGGAGGTATTATTGATATGAGAAAATGCTAAGTAACTGATTTATTATACTATCTGAAAAGGGATTTACTATCGGGGAAAGGGAGGGAGGAAGAGACTGAACATAAACTGTGCACCTATGGATGAGGACAATGGGGGATGGGGAGGGGGCGGAGGGTGGGGTGGAAACCTGGTGGAGAGGGGAAGAAATGAGGAACCTTTGTAATAATATGAACAATAAAGATTGATAAAAATAAATAAATAAATAAATAAATAAATAAGTAAGTAAACTGAAGCTCAGAGGGTGAACTTACTTGCCTAGGCCACCCTCCCCTCCCCCCGCTGGGAAATGGCAGTTCTGTGTGATGCCAAACCTGTGTTCTTAATGACTGTGACGGTCCCTAGAAATATCTGTCAGCTCACAGGACTGAGGGGCATAGCCTGCCCTCCAGGAGCCCAACATGGTCCTCAGGACAAGATGGGCACACAGGGTGTGGCAGGCGCTCGAAGTGCCAGTGCGCAGCCCAGTCAGCAAGTGCAGAAGGAGCTCAGACGGCAGGGCGGGCTGGGCTGGCCACCAGGGCGAGGGGTTCAGCCAGATGAAGAGCGAGAGGGAGGGCACTCCAGGGAGAAGTGCTTGGTCTTTGCAGGATCCTGCAGGACATAGTGAGGTGGGAAGCCGTGAGCTCATTGTCTGGCTGAGCGGAGAGACTGAAGGGCAAGAGCTGAGAATGGACAAGGGTCAGGTGCTGGAGGCCCCAGAATGTTCTCGCCATCCTGCAGAGGGTGGTATTCACGAGCTCTTTCCCCACTAAGGGGGGAAAAGGAGACCTCTGAGGTTCACAGCTCCATGTGGTGTCTGGCTGGGCCGGGAGGGTCAGTGCAAATAGAGAACAGGGGTGGGCGTGAGACACACCAGAGGACAAAGCCTGCTTCGCTTTCCTAGGGGAGGCCAGGTGGCAGCTGTCAGAGATCTCAGAAAGATCCCAGGGTTGGGGGGATCTTCAGAGATTCGCTGACCTCATCATGCCCACCAGCACCTTTCCGAGCTCCTCACAAGAGGAGTGCTGGTCATTGGTTAGCAGCGGGCTCTCGTGGGGTGGAACAGTGCTTTGTAGCGTCTGATGATTTTCCTGGTGTAAAACACGCCCACGGTGACTGGTATCAAGTTACCAGCACAACGTCACTGAACTCAGAGCAGAGGAGAGTCACACATGCCCATCTGAGCATGCTCCAGCTGACCACTGCTCCCAGCTCTCCCAGGCCCATCACGTCACCAGTGGCGTTAGCAGGGACCCTGGGGGGAAGGGGCCAGCCACCCTGAGTGTCCCTGAGCCCTGGGGCTTAAAGGCCCAGGGGGATCATCTTATCTTAGCTCCAGGCATTAGTCCTACAGGGTCCCCAGGTGGGTGCAAGAGCTCCAGATACGGGCATCCAGGCTGTGGTCTCCCCAACGGTCAGAAAGCACCAGGGGCCCAGAGACCCTGCGTTAGACCCGAGTCCCAGAAGGAGGCTGTGGAGCGAAGGGTCCCAGTGCATAGGTGACGTGCAGACTGCAGGCCTGGCCCCAGAGCGTGGTTCCCACAGTCATTTGCTCCCCAGCCTTCATGATCACTTGTCATAGGATCCGTCTTGGAATCTTGTGTCTTCTTCTCCCCGCCCCCGCCACCTTTTTTCTGCCCCTCCTAAGATGGACCCTAAGGGACTTGAGACAATGGCTCCAGAGGCTGAGGGTGCCCATGAGGAAGCACCACAGGTGCCCTCCGGTGCTGAGGGTGGCGGCTCAGGAGGGATGGAGGAGCCAGCCCTGAGGGCCTCCCACTTCAGCTGCCCGCTGGCGTGAGGATTGTGCTGCCTGGGGCAGCAGGCAGCTGGCCAGCCGAGGCCTCTGTCCAGATGTGGAACGGAGTTGGCGAGGTTGAGCCGTGGTAGCCCCCTGGGCTCCCCGTGTGAGTGCGGCGCCCCCAAGGACGCTCTTGTTGTCCCAGGAAACCTCACCCTCCTCTCCCCGGTGTCCCTCTTTCTCCACCACCTGCTGCAGGTTCTTCATCATCAAAGAGAGCTTCCTTCTTTACTACTCGGAAAGTGAGAAAAAGAGCTTTGAAACCAATAGACACTTCAATATACATCCTAAGGTGAGGGGCCTCTCCCCGGGGCCACAGCGGGGAGGGCCCAGGGGAACATGGAGGGAGGGTGTTCTGTGAGGGTGGAGGACTGTGGTCTCACAGAGTCTAAAGAACAAATCCTTCTTGGGGCACAAGATCCCCCCTGCCCGTCCTCGGCTGGGCCCCCAACCTCCTGTGCCCAGGAGCCTGCCCCGCCCTGCCCCTCCTTCTGGAAGAGTCCTTGTCTGGCTCCCGGCCTGGGCCCTCAGCAGGACCTGGCTTTGGCTAAGGGCTCCCACAGGCCTTGAGTGACCTGACCTGGGCTGGGCTGGGTGGGGTGAGAGCTGCCTGTTCCGGTTCTTTCTCAGGGCGTCATCCCCCTGGGGGGCTGCCTGGTGGAGGCCAAGGAGGAGCCCAGCATGCCCTATGCCATGAAAATCTCCCACCAGGACTTCCATGTGAGTAAAGCTCTCATCTCAGCCTGGGCTCAGCCGGGACAGAGCGGCTTCTCTGGGATCCTCAGGTGCCTGGGGGCCACCCCTCCATTGGCCTGGCCTGGCACGGGGGGAATGGGGGTCAGTGCCATAGGATTTCGGGGTGCGGGGAGCAGCCCTGGGCCTGCAGAGGCCTGGGGCAGCCTCCGTGTCCTCAGAGCGGCCTTCTCTCAGGTGCACCGGGGCCCCTCTTCCTGGCAGGGGAACATCTTGCTGGCAGCGGAGTCTGAGTTTGAGCAGGCGCAGTGGCTGGAGATGCTGCAGGAGTCGGGGAAGGTGTAAGTGCTCCCCGCAGGAGGGCAGCCTGAGATCCGAAAGGGGAAGGGAGGGGGTGGGCTGGACTGACCCTGCTCTCTCTCTCTCTCTCTCTCTCTCTCTCTCTCTCTCTCTCTCTCTCTCTCTCTCTCTCTGCTGGGGTCCCGGCGGGCACTGGGGGCCCCAGGAGAGGGCAGGGTGGGGAGGAAAAGGTCTGGGCCTCCTTGAGGACAGGGCTGTGGGAGTTGGTTAGGGTGGGCAAGAGCATCTGTAGTGGTCTCCTAAGTGAGCTTTGAGCAAAGGGAGCTTTGCTTGCCTAGGGTCACAGGTGGCAGACGTGGACTCCATTTGTCTCCCGTTCTCAGAGTGAATCCAGCGTCACTCGTAGGACTTGGCTGCCTCCCAACCCCCGCTCAGCTCCCCAGGCCCACTATGAATCCTAGCACAGACAGAGCTTTGCAAATCGGGGTCCACATCACAGAAACCTCCAGCCCAACACAGTCCATTCGCACGTAAACCCTGGTCCTGGCACCTGCCTGTTCGAGCTGAGTCATGCTTTCAGTTCAACCAATAACACTGAGTGCGTGCCCCGCGCCAGGCCCTGCGCCGGGCGGTGGGCCTTCAGTGCTGTAGAGAGCAGCCAGGAAGCAATCTCTTCTTTGCTCCCAAAGTGCTGCTGTCCCGGCCCTCGGTGGCCCACTTTGCAGGCTGGGCCAGCCTCCAGGGATTGAAACCGATCCAGGCTGGTGGCCCGCCCAGAGCCCGGGGAGCCAGGGTGGATGAGAGCTGGGATTTGGGGAGGAGGGACAGGCGAGCACAGAACACGCACATTCTCTTTCTCCTCCAGCCTTCCGTGTTCACGATTTTGTGTTTCTTCCTCTCCTCTCCTCTGTCCCATCTGCCCTCCCTCCCCAGGACTTGGAAGAACGCCCAGCTGGGAGAGGCCATGATCAGGAGCCTGGAGGCCCAGGGGCTGCAGTTGGCCAAGGAGAAGCAGGAGTATCTAGGTTGGCTGGAGGGACGGGCTGGGCTGACACTCCCTGATGGCAGCACTTCAGGGCCAGGGGCTGTGGGAGGTCCCAGGGGGGAGTCTTGAGTGGGGCTTCGCAGGCTCCGAGGAGCCAGACACCAGCTTGGAGCCTGGAGAGTTTACTAATCAATGTCCTGTTGGCCAGCATGACAGGGGGCAGGCAGGACAGCCTGGTGGTTTGGGGCCTGGGCTCCGGGCCCAGCTTTGTCGCTTATCGACCAGCTGTGTATGTCTTCCGGCAGCACAGCCTCTCTAAGCCTCAATTTCCTCATCCTTAAGATGGAGACAGAAAGAATCCCAGGCTGTTGGAGGTGCTGTGGGGGTGGGTTACATGAGAAAATGCCTGTCGGCACTGCGTCAGGTGCGCAGCAAAGGCTCCATAAACGGAGTCCATGTTGTTGCCTTGGCCTGGACCCCGGGTCCCGGGCTTGCCTCCAGCTCCCACACCCCAGCCTGCTTTAAACCTGACCACAGGGTCCCTGGCCCTTGTGCCCTGACTGGCTGGTTAGCATACTGCTTGGGAAAGAAGAAGTTGAGTCTGAGGTTGGATCCTTCGCCTGGGACCCTCTGCCTTGCCGCCTCCTTAGACACTTGGGCTCCAGCACTGGGGTTCCCCTCTGCCTGCTCCAAACACCCACCACGCCCCAGGAACGCCCTTCCCCACGAGGCAGACACTAGTGCAGAGGGCGTGCCGAAACCCTCTCGAGCTTCCAAGGACAAGGCTGCCCTTGGGAATGCACGATGCAGGGACAGTGACGGGAAGGTGGGCCGCAGCTCCCACCCCAGGAGCTGGCCCCACCTCCGGCCGGGCTGGTGCGGCTGCGCTGGCCGCTTCCTTGGGAGATGCCGGGGGTGACAGAGGTGGCCGCGGCATCAGCCACTCGGGACCGCGTCTGGAGGGGGCTTTTCCTGAGAGTGTGTGTGTATGTGTGCTCACTTTGGCAGACAAGCTGATGGAGGAGACCGAGGAACTCTGCCTGCAGAGGGAGCAGAGAGAGGTAGGCGCCCGTGGAGGCCGCTCAGAATTGCCGCCCTTTCCTCCCCTCCCCCCCTCCGTGACCCCTGAACAGCCAAGGTGTTCTGGCTCATGCTTCTGGCATTCAGGAGTGATGCGGGGAGCTGTGCACCCAGAGAACTGTCTGGAGAATCTGACCGGCCCCGCAGGGAGGCCGGCGAGAGGACGGTGCTTGGAAGCTGCCGTAGCTTCTTGGCAGGCAGTGTACTAACGAGTTATGTCTTCCGGTGAAGGCCTGGAGAGGAAAGTAGAGGGGTAGGTGACCACCTAGAGAAAAAGCCATCCCCAATTTTATTTATTTATTTTTATTTATTTATTTAAAAATATATTTTATCGATTTTTTACAGAGAGGAAGGGAGAGAGATAGAGAGCTAGAAACGGCTACCAGCTGCCTCTTGCACACCCCCTACTGGGGATGTGCCCGCAACCCAGGTACATGCCCTTGACCGGAATCGAACCTGGGACCTTTCAGTCCTCAGACCGACGCTCTACCACTGAGCCAAACCGGTTTCAGCCATCCCCAATTTTATTAGCTGTGTTGGTAGGTAATGAGCTGTTTGCCGCTGACGATATTCACAGGAGGCTGGGGTGGCCTCTGTTAGGGGGTTTCTGGCACCTTAAGAGTGATTGGGTTGGATGATCTCAGGGACTCCTTCATTTAGAGAAATGTCGATGATACAAGTCCGGAGGGGACCAAGCATTGGCTTGAGGCAGCTTTATGGGGTTAAGGAGGCCCTTGCTTCATTTCAGGGTGGGGAGCCGGTAAAGTCCACTTCATTTGGAATCTCCGTGCATCATTGGGCCTTGCTTGTTCTGAGGAATCATTTCTTCCCCCCGGAAGGCAGAGTAAGGTAGTGGTTAGCAGCCAGGTTGGCTGTGTATTGAATCTTCATCACTTCTAGCTGTGTGACTTTGGGCCAGTTACCTAACCTCTCTGAGCATCAATATTCTCACATGAGCAATGGGGGATAATAGCCCAGCTGGCATAGCGCAATGGTTGATCATCAACCTGTGAACCAGGAGGTCACAGTTCAATTCCCAGTCAGGAAACATGCCTAGGTTTCGAGCTTGATCCCCAGAATAGGGTGTGTAGTAGGCAGCCGATCAATTATTCTCTCTCTTCATTAATGTTTCTATCTCTCCCTCTCCCTTCCTCTCTGAAATCAATAAAAATATATTAAAAAACAAAGTAAAACAATGGGGATGATAATTGAACTGATCTTATTAGGGATGTAGTGAGGATGAAGTGAGATGTTAAATATAAAAACTTGGTACATTGTCTGGCCTGAGTAGCTCGGCTGATTGAGCATCATTCTGTGCCCTGAAAGGGACATGTACAAAGGCAACCAATCAATGTTTCTCACATCAATGTTCCTCTCTCTCCTCCTCTCTCTCTCTTTCCCTTCCTCTCTCTAAGCTTGTGCTCAGTGAGGATTAAAAATAATGATGATGATGTTTGGCACATAATGTGTGCTTAGTGAATATCTGTGTTCGTTAGTATTACAGTCAGTTGTTACTAATTATGGGCCCATCTTGCACGTGAATTGCCTGTGGCCCAGCACTGCAGGGTGGCTTGCCCAGAGAACCCACAGAGGGAGGCCACTTCTCTCTGCCCAGGTGCTTCTCCTGGTCCTCTCCCAGGCCAGTCACAGGGCCGGGCCATCAGCCCTGGCTCTGCCTGACTCTTGACCTGACTCTTGCTTACTCCTCACCCTTCCCAGCCACCCCTTACTGGTCTCTGAAACAGGCCATACAGTCATGTCCCACAGTACCCCAGACATTCCCAGTGCCTGGCCCAGGCTGAGTGCTTCATAAATGTGTGTGGAGTGACTCAGTGAATGAAAAATTTTTTAACTTTAAATTTTTTTATTTCTCAATTACAGTTGACATACAATATTACACTAGTTTCAGGGTACAACCCAGTGATTAGACATTATGTAACTAAGTGATTACCCCAATAAATCTAGTACCCTTTCAACACCACACATACTTATTATAAGATTATTAACTATATTTTCTCTGCTGTACTTTATATCCCTGTGATCATTATGTAACTACCAATTCATACTTCTCTTTAAAAACAACAACAACATATTTCTTTATTGATTTCAGAGAGGAAGGGAAAAGAGAGAGAGAGAGACGTCAATGATGTGAGAGAATCATTGATTGGCTGCCTCCTGCACTCCCCCTACTGGGGATCAAGCCCACAACCCAGGCACGTGCCCTTGGCTGGAACTGAACCTGGGACCCTTCAGTCCGCAGGCTGACGCTCTATCCACTGAGCCAAGCTGGCTAGGGCCCAATTTGTACTTCTTAATCCCTTCACCTTTTCACCCATGTCCATAACATGCTCCCATTTGGCAACCGTCAAAGTGTTCTCTGCACCTACTGGTATGAGTTTGTTTCCATTCTGCTTTTTTTTTGTTTTATTTTTAGATTCCACATATGAGTGAAATTGTATGGCATTTGTCTTCCTCTGTCTGACTTACTTTTCACTCAGCACAATAACCTATAGGTCCATCCATGTTGTTGCAAATGGCAAGATTTTGTTCTTTTTTATGGCTGAATCATATTCCACTGTATATGTACACCACTTAATTATCCAATCATCTATTGATGAACACTTAGGCTCCTTCCATAACTTGGCTTTTGTAAATAACGCTGCAGTGAACATATGGATATATATCTTTTTGATTTAGTGTTTGGGGTTTCTTTGGATACACACCCAGAGGTGGAATTGCTGGATCCTCCTTTGTCTCTGCCTTAAAGTCTATTTTGTCTGGTATAAATGTTGCTACCACAGCTGTTTGTTTATTTCCATTTTCATGTAATATACTTTTCTATCCCTTTACTTTCAGTCTGTGTATATTTTTCAATCTGAAGTGAGTCTCTTGTAGACAGCATATGTAAGGGTCTTGTTTTATTATCCATTCAGCCTCTATCAGTATACATCTTTTGGTTGGAGCATTTAATTCATTTGCATTTAAAGTAGTTGATAGCTATGTATTTATTATCATTTTATTGTGCATATTTTTATCTTTTTTTTTGTTCTTCTTAAAGAAGATCCTTTAACAATGAATGAACATTTTTTATTTTTGTAATTTTACATTACATCTTGACTAATCCAGTAGGACAATTCACCCTCATTTTTCTTCCAAAAATTTATCAGCTATTCTTGCCCATTTATTTTTTCAGCTGGACTTCAGAATCATGTTGTCAATTAACAACGGTAAAAAAAAAATCCAAATCCGCCCTGGCCAATGTGGCTCAATGGTAGAGCATAACTTGTGCTCTGAAGGGTCACAGGTTCGATCCCCTACCCTGCTTAGGGCAGGTGCAACCAAATTAATGTGTCTCTCTCCCACTGAGATTTCTTTCTCTCTCTCTCTCTTTCTCTCTCTATCTTCCCCTCCCTCCCTTCCACTCTCTCCAAAAAAATCAATGGAAAAATATCCTCAGGTAAGGATTAAAGAAAAAAAAAAATCCAAACAAAACTCCCAAACCAAAACCTGCGGAGGCTTTGTGTTAGGAGCGCATGGGTTTGAGGACTGGCATGGCGACAGCAGCGGGCGGGCCTCCGTGTCTCCAGGTTCTCATTCTAGGTTCCTCTGTTGAGGTTTCCCAGCCGTTCTGTACATTTTGAGAAGTGAGACTTCCGGTGGATTGTCAGTAACTTAACGACAGATAACTCAGGAAGCCAGGGGATGGGATGGAGTGACAGACACAGCCACTGGCAGGGAGAAGCCAGACTTATCCATCAGAGAGGCTAAATCTGGGGCAGCAGTCAGCCGCAGGAAAATTTAGACACTCTATCTAGGTCTTTAGCCAGGAAATGAGGGCAGTGGGGCCCACTGCACACAGGCCTCGCTTAAAGCCATAGCACGCCGAAGGAGGGAAGCCTATCAGCTGGGAACCCCTGGGTTTTGGGTACAGAATGTGAGTGAACCAGCTGGTTCCCGAGGTGAAGGCTGCTCTGGGCAGGCTGGAGGGAGAGGACTGTGCTGTGCCCAGGCTTGCAGTCCAGGTCAGCTGCCTGCTCCAGATCAGGAATAGAACTCATGGAGTCCTTCTGTCAAGGTGTTTTCCTTCCTTCACTTAATCATCCATAGAATGGATCTGCCTGTCCCCTGCACTTTCCCCTGCCCACCCCAGGTCATGGAGATTGTCTGGGTGTGCCTTGTGCCACTTGGAAAGGCATTGGGACAATGGCCCAGAGGTGAGATGGAGATTCTCTGGTCTCTGAGAGGCTGCTTGGCCTAAAGGTGTGGGATCAGGAGACCCAGATTCTAGGTGTGTGTGTGTGTGTGTTTGTTTGTTTTGTTTTGTTTATATTTGTATTGATTTTAGAGAGCCAGGAAGAGGAATAGAGAGATTGAAACATCAGTGATGAGAGAGATTCATTAATCAGCTGCCTCCTGTATTCCCTACACTGGGGATCGAGCTCACATCCCGGGCATGTGCCCTGACCAGGAATCAAACCGTGACCTCCTGGTTCATAGGTTGGAACTCAACCACTGAGCCATGCCATCGAGTTTCAACTCTACCACTGACTGAATAGCCTGGGACTAGTTAGTCTTTCGGACCTTCAGTTTCTCCCATCTGCGATGATCTGATAACAGTAATGGCTATGCTACCTAGATCCTGGGCCGCTGTGAGACTCAATGAAATAGAAAGCAGGGAGTGCTTGGTGAACTGGCCCATGCAGATGTGTGCTGTGAGATGGTGCAGCCCTGATACCTTCCAAGTAGCAGAAAGGGCGTGAGCAGAGAGTGCAGGGGCAGCCACCTTAGTCCCAGGTCCCTCTGGTGTCCCCTGGCTCCCTGTGTCCTTATAGCTCTCACTCCCTGGAGGAGGGCAGCCTGCCTATTTTTTCTTTTTTGGCTGAACTGTGAGTGCGTATGGGCACGCCCATGGGAAACCTCAGTGCTCAGGGGCAGTCAGCAGGTTTCTTACTTCCTGGGGCGCTCCAGTCAGAACACAGCCTCGTGGAGTCGGAAGACACCTCCCACTTCAAGGTGAGGCTCTTTGCTGACCTTCCTGATGGATATTGATCCTGATCCTGTGATCATGGCTCCATTGTTTTGAAAGGTCTTTCTTTCATTGAGCTGGGATTTGCCATCTGGTGACTTCTTTCCAACCTTATACCCCTGCAACTTCAGTCAGGCCCGAGAGTCAGAACCAGCGCTGTGTGATGGAGAAAGGCTTTCGCTGAAGCAGGTCTTAGTGGACCTCAGCGGTGGCAAGGTTGCTGCAAACACTCATGCCACCCTGGGCTGCAGGAGCAGAAGGTTCTGGATGCTCTGAGTTTATAGGGTGGAGGTTTCACTGTAATCAGCATGCTGCACCTCGGCGTCAGCTTCATTTAGGAGCCACACGGGTGAAATGAAAGGCGGAAAAGAAGTGAGCAGCCGGGGCCGAGAGTGTCTGTCTTTTTCCTCTTTAATACAGAGCCTTTTACTGATGGTAGAGACCATGCTCTCTGTGGAGAACAGATCTACCCTTGATCTCACCATTGATGGACAGCTACTGTCAACTTCTCTGTGTGTTTCTTCTCCATCTTTTAAAAATGTATTGTGCATATATACATATCTTAAGCTTAATAGAGTCATATCAGATATTCCATTTTATGGCCTGCTTTTTCTTTATACCTTTATTAACCTTGTACATCCAGCAATTTTTCATGTCATTCGGCATTCTTTGGAAACATCTGTTTTAGTGACCATGTCCTGATTCGTTAATATGTGATGTTTCCTTTAATTAATCTTCTGTTTTGGGATATCTAGGATGTTTTCACTATAATAAATTACACCGCAGTGAGTATCCTTATACATCAATCCTGATCTACTTTTATAATGATTTCTTTTTAAATTATTTTTTATTTTTATTTACTGATGAGAGAGAAACTGATTTGTTGTTCCACTTATTTATAAATTCATTGGTTGAATTTTTGCATGTGCTCTGACTGGGGATCAAACCTGCAAATTTGTTGTATTGGGACAACTCTCACCAACTGAGCTACCCACCCAGGGCCTCTGATTATTTCTTTTTTAATTTTTTTTTTATTGACTTCAGAGAGGAAGGAAGAGGGAGAGGGATAGAAACATCAATGATAAGAGATTATCATTGATCAGCTGCTTCCTACACGTTCCACTCTGGGGACTGAGCCCACAACCCAGACAAGTGCCCTGACCTGGAATCGAACCATGACCTCCTGGTTCATAGATTAGTGCTCAACCACTGAGCCACACTGGCTGGGCTAATATCTTTAGGATAGATTCCTGTAGGTGGAATTAGTGATGCCAAGGGCAAAAACCTTTAAGACTCCCGATTAGATGAGCTAGTTTCCTGGAAACACATTCCATTAGGGGGGTAAAAAGGATTCCTGATGACTATTGCCAAATTGCTTTTGAGAAACTTAGTACTTATTTACACTCTTATAATAGTGTATGGACATTTCCATGGCATTTTAATAATTTACTTTCTCCCATTTTCAATTACAAAAGATATCCCAGACCTGGTTGGTTTGGCTCAATAGATCGAGCATCAGCTTGTGGACTGAATCATCCCAGGTTCAATTCCGGTCAAGGGCACATGCCCGGGTTGCAGTCTTGATCCCCAGTAGGGGCCGTGCAGGAGGCAGCTGATCAATGATTCTCTCTCATCATTGATGTTTCTATCTCTCTCTCCCTCTTCCTTCCTCTCTCTGAAATCAATAAAAATATATATCTCTCTATAAGAAGATGTCCCAGTGTCATGGTAAGTACAGGGAAATATTTGTAAGTCAGAGTCCTGGAGAAAGGGGCTCTCTGGGGAGAAGAACCAAAGGTGTGGGTGGCATCCTCCAGCGGGGTCCCGGGGGACCTCTTCTGTACCGTCAGAAGCCAGGTAGCTACAAGAGCCGGGTGCCTATAAGAGCCAGCTAGCTTCCCTGGTGGTTTTTCAGGTCTAAACTCAGGGTTGCTTACAGCCTATGACTTCCCCGGCCCCCTGAGCAGCACTCCCACAGCAGGCAGAGGCCACAGATAGGTTTATCGACACTAGCAATACCAAGTGCCAGCTACTGAGAGTGTATCCAAATAGAGGTTTTTCAAATTTTTTGAAACTCTGAACTTTTCCTTCATTAAAAAGAGGAGGTTTGCCGAAGCCGGTTTGGCTCAGCAGACTGAAAGGTCCCAGGTTCGATTCCGGTCAATGTACAATGCATGTACATTGGTTGTGGGCACATCCCCTGTGGAGGAAGTGCAGGGGGCAGCTGATCGATATTTCTAGCTCTCTATCCCTCTCCCTTCCTCTCTGCAAAAAAATCAATAAAATGTATAAAAAGAAAAATGGGAGGTTTATAAGCATAAAGTTTTAATTATATTTATATTATGTCTATATATGGCTGTGTCTACTGCATTGTCACATAACTCCAAAATATTAGTGGCTTTGAACAGTGACCATCTATTTCTCACTCAGTTACCTGGGTCAGCTGGGAGCTCTGCTCCACATCTCCTCGCAGGGATCCAGGCTAATCTAGCCTCCATCGTTTGTAGCAACAGTGGCTACCATGGAAGGGGAAAGGGAACATAGTGTGTCAGGCCCTGGCTCTTAGAGGCATCTGCCTGGAAGTGACATACTCCTGCTCACATACCATTGGCTTTAGCCAGTCCATGGACCCGCCCAGCTTTGCAGGTACACTGTGGCTGTGCAGTGTGCCCAGAGGGGCATCAGCATGCCAGTGAGCAGCCCTCATGGTGACCCTCAGTGAGCCACACCCAGAGAGACAATAATGATCAGAAAGAAAAACTTCTTTGTGTAAGAAGCGGAGGAGGAGGGCTTGGGGTTTGGAATCAGATCTTCCTTTTCCCTTAGGTTTTATTCTGTCTCTGAATCTCCTCAAAGCCAATGGCAACTTCCCCCTCCAGCCAGCTCCTCTCCTTGGTGGGTTTCCATGACCCTTGAGCACAAAGCCCCTGTAGGTGAAAAACGAGAGTATCGTTTGGAGCTAGAAGATGAGGAAGAAAGTGGATCTAGGAGAAATGTCCTTCCACCGTGAAATGTGGAGGAGCAAAGCTGTCATCACAAACAGGCTTCTTTCTAGCCTCGCTTCCCGTGAAGTGTACCCCCAACACCACCTGCCCTTGGAGCGCAGAAAACAGGCGCCCCGAGGCCACATGCCTGATGGGACAGCCTTACGCTTGTCAGCCATCCAGGAGGGACTGGTGTGGCCTGGAGGCTTCTGGCTCTTCTGTTCCCTTGGAGCTGAGTATAGGGGAGGCTGCTGCCATCTGTGCTCATTGCTTCGAAGATGCTGTGAGAAAAAATAATTCTTGATCTCTGACTTTTGGGGTGGAAGTGGCTTCTCTTTGCCACTTGGAATAGATGTTACTTCAGGGATCTTTTTAAAAAATATATCTTATTGATTTTTTTTTTTTTACAGAGAAGAAGGGAGAGGGATTGAGAGTTAGAAACTATCGATCAGCTGCCTCCTACACGCTCCCCACTGGGGGATGTGCTGCAACCAAGGTACATGCCCTTAACCGGAATCAAACCCGGGACCTTTCAGTTCGCAGGACGATGCTCTATCCACTGAGCCAAACGGGTTTCGGCCACTTCAGGGATCTTTAGTGGAAATACCTACTCCCCACTCTATCCTCCAGGGCTTGAGGGCCAGCCAATGTGCCTTAGGGTGTGAGTGACATGGAGAGTTATCATCGCGTCCAGTCACAGGAAATAATGCTGGCATGATTTCTAAACCCTGCCTTCAACCTGCTGAGTGAGCCCAGGTCATCACAGGTTTTGGTTTGGAGACTGTGTCATTGAGGGGACCAGGGCTCAGCAGGACTCAATTTCAAGGTTGGTCCAGCGCATGCCCCAGGCCGTGCTGAATGCCAGAGGGGCCCCTGGGTTAGAGCGGGGGTTCCCTGTGCTGCCCGTGACTCTTGCTTCTCTCCATCCTCTTCAGGAGCTCGAGCGCCTTAACCAGGTGCTGGAGGCTGAGAAGCAGCAGTTTGAGGAGGTGGTGCAGGAGCTGAGAATGGAGCAGGAGCAGATCAAGAGGTGGTGGTGGTGCCCCTGAGGGGAGCGGGAGGGCGGTGCATCCTGGCTAGTACGGCGTTAGGAACAACGCTGCTGGCCAGCCCTGGGGAGGCCCCCGTCCAGGAGGTCCTCTCTCCTTGGTTTTGTCTTTCTTCCCAATGCTCCAGGCCTCGGGGTGTGCCCGGAAAAAGCTGTAGTTCCCACACGAATAGGCCACTTCTGCCCACTGAGGCATGAGGCATGGGCAGGTGCAGACAGGCCTCCCCTACGCATCAAGCCCTCCTCCTTCCTTTCCCAGGGCAGACAGGACAAGCTGGTCTGGAGGTGCCATTACCCATGATCCCCAACATTCCCTGTCTCTCTCAAACAATCCTTTCACCTTCTGGCTAGTGGTATCCCTTGGGATCTTTAGTCCTGTGTCTGGTGTACAAGCCAGTTGCACATTATAATCATTTAACAGAATTAGAGTCTCCTAAAGGTAGAGCCTAGGTATTTATATTTTTTAAAAGCCCCGCAGGCCATTTGGGTGCAGCCTGCCCAGGAATATGGAGTCCCCTGCTCTGGGCACGGTGATGGTGGTATGACTGTCCTCATCACTATCGATCATTAGTGATAGCCCAGAAAGACTTCTCTTGCAACAATCTCACAAAGGAAGTCATTTGACATATAATTGAGGGAGGGAGAAGCTCTGAGAATCTTACCAAGTAAATAGCCAAACACCTGCTCGCTTTCAGAATTGTGCCAGACCCTGGAACAGAAGACTAGTCCTCTCTCTGAAGATCTGGTGGGGGAAACCAGACTGACACCCAGGAAACATGAACACAATAAGATATAACATGGGGCAGCCCTGTGTTCCAGGGATTCAGATATATGCATCATCCGTATGGGCTTGAACAGAGATGGGACTGAGCTGGGCCTTGAAGATGGATTTGAAAAATTGGGGATGGGAAAGGGGAAGGCATTCCAAACAGGAGGAGGGGAAACCAGGTGTGGCCCGAGGGAGTCCAGGCTATTACGAAAGCAGCAAGGAGTTTGCCATGTCCCATGTCAGTGAGTGTGGGTTCCAGCAGGAACTGCCCAGGGATGATGGGTTGAGACCCCCCTCTGTTCCCCCAGTGCTTCTCTGCCTGTGGGTGCCTCCCCTCACCTGAGTTTATCCCGCTGACAAATGCACGAGTATCGAGAGCACGTGGCTAGGATCCCCTTATTTCAGCCCTGGGTCCCTCCATCTGCTGGCAGGACCCAGCCATGGGGAGGGGCTGGCCTTCCAAGGACCCCACTGAGCCTTTTGGGGAGATAAAATAAGCTCTTCTAGGTACAAAGGAGATAGGGAGGGATGGGCACTGCCATACGCATGCCCTCTGTCCCCACAGGGAGCTAGAACTGACTGCAAGATGCCTCAGGGGTGTGGAGCAAGAGAAGAAGGAGCTGAGGCACTTCACAGAGTCCTTGCAGCAGACGCTGGAGGTGAGGGGCCGCTGGTGGGCTGGTTGGTTGGGCCACGTGATACCGTTTTTTCTAATTGTTTCCCCAGTGACTGAGCCATCTGCAAGGGTAACAGGGCGCAAAGGGGCACTAACCTAAGGGACTCTTCTCTGTGGACCTTGGGGAACTCTAGCCGACTTGTGAGGCCCAAAGCAGACCCTTGAGTTTGCCCTTGCTATGACCATGGCCTCGGAAATCCACCTTCTTCAGTGCTTACGTTTTTATATAGATGGAGGATTGATTAGAATGGGGGGTGGGGCTACCACCACTTCCTTCTTGTGGTTCATTCATTTAGCTGATCCAGGGTGAAACTGAGCAGGAAGGGACATCAGCTGCCAGGTCACCTCCATTTGATACCGCAGAAACTGGCGGTGGCATGCATCAAGGACAAAGAGCCGACTCTCCAGGATGGCATGCAAGTGCCAACTCTGGCCCCAGCCTCTCCTCCACTGTTGCCCTCTGCTGCCCTTCCATACCCAGAGCAGACACCAACCCCCTATTCCACATGCCCCCGGAAACCATGCGCCCTCATCCTCCACATCTTTGCCCATACGGACCCTTCTACACAATGTCCTTCCACCTCTTTTTTGCCCAGAGAACTCCTTCATCCTTCTAAGGCTCAGCTTGGACCTCAGGTTGGCCAAGCTTCCCTGCCGCTGCGTAGCAGGAATTTGCTCTGAGCTCTGGGCTCCCACAGCACTTCCTTATGGCACTGAACTATGTGTTTCCTTAAACTGTGAGCTTCACTGGGCTGTGTCTTAAGGTCTTTCCAAGCCCAGCACTTAAAGTGAGTTTGGCATGGCGGGGGGATCTTCACGTTTGCTGAATAAATGAACTGCCTGACAGACTGCACGGGTTTCTCTCCTGTCTCCACTGACTGGGGGGGTGTTTTGAGGGGCCTTTATTTGTTTATCTTTCTCCATTTCATATCACAGGAGGTGGTTCCCTTGAATGTTTTCAACTCCAGAATTTCTGGGATGTGCGAGACCTCAGTCTGATAAATGGGGAGAACACAAACCAGCCCTCTGTCTGGTCCTGTTGGGTGTTTTCACGTGACCCCAACACATTCCTTCTCTTGCCGCTGGAGGAACAAGCACCCCAGAGGGTCATGGTGCCCTGGGGTGTTGGTGTCTCCTGGTTATAGTAGGGCCACCTCCCCTGGATGCCTCATTGGGCTCCTCTCTGACTCCCTCGATGGAGGGGTAACCTCGCCTCGCTGTGAGGAAGGAGATCTTGGTTGGCCTTTTACTTCAAGGGAAGAAAGGAGACATCCCAGGTGTCCCTCATACAGGGCTGAGAGTGCAGGGCACCGCTCCCTGGAATCAGAAAGCAGGTGAGGGAAACCATGGTGGGGAACCCAAATTAGGCTCTTTCTCTTCCTTCTCTCCCTTCTTCTATCCCTCCATGCCAGGAGCTCTCCATAGAGAAGAAGAAAACCCTGGAAATGCTGGAGGAGAATGAGAACCAACTGCAGACACTGGCCAATCCGAGCGAGCAGCCCTCTCCCAGTGGGGGTCTCCATAGCAACCTGAGGCAGATCGAGGGGAAGATGCAGCAGCTCTTGGAAGAGAAGCTCCTGGCAGAGAAGCGGTGAGGAGCCCGGGACCCATGGGTCCACGTTGGGCTTTGGGGTCGGTACTGTCCTTGAACTGGACGCCGGGACGTTTGGGTCCTAGTTGCCATTGCCCAGGAAGGTGGCTCACTTCCATCTGCCCAGGACTCAGTTTTCCCTCCCGGCAAATGGGAAGAGAACCTTCACTACCCAGAACTGACTGGATCATTATCTCTTGCAGAGGTGTGAGCTGTATAGACAGTCACTATGCCCGCATAACAGTGCTCTGTGGGCTGCTGGGAAGGTCCTCTTAGATCCCTTTTACAGACGAGGACCCCTTTTGCAGTTCTGAGCCTTGGAAAGTTATAGGACTTTTCTGAGGTCACAGAACCAGCAAGACCTGGACCAAGGGCTCATGCTTCCTTTTTTTCTTCTTCTTTTTTAAAATATATTTTATTGTGGTTTTTTTTTACAGAGAGGAAGAGAGAGGGATAGAGAGTTAGAAACATCAATGATATAGAAACATCGATCAGCTGCCTCCTGCACACCTCCTACTGGGGATGTGCCCACAACCAAGGTACATGCCCTTGACCGGAATCGAACTTGGGACCTTTCAGTCCACAGGCCGATGCTTTATCCACTGAGCCAAACCCGTTTCGGCAGGGCTCATGCTCTCTGACTGTAACACAGGCACCCTTCAACCGACCACACTGCTCCCTCATCACCTGGGTGCATGCTAGGGTGTCCTGAAGCCTGGGCCTCAGATTTCCTCAGCCAGTTCTCTCCGAGGGGCTGTCCTCCCAGGGGAACCCCCCTTGGGTGAGCGAGCCCTGACAGTGCCGTTCCCGGCAGGATGAAGGAGAACGAGGAGCGCTCGCGGGCCCTGGAGGAGGAGCGTGAGTTCTACTCCAGCCAGTCCCAGGCGCTGCAGACCTCGCTGCAGGAGCTCACCGCACAGAAGCAGCAGGCCGAGCAGGAGCTCAAGGTGCCTCCCCTCACATCCCTGCCTGAATTATCTCTGCCCGCCTGGCCAGCCGGGGGCAGGCGATAGAGCCGCCCTGGAGGGACGCAGCGGGCCTGCCACTTCTGCGGGGCGTCATTGCTGGGTGTGGGGTCGAGTCCAGGCCGCCTGGTCAAGGGTGTCCGACAGGAGGCAGGAGGTGGTAATGTCCATCCAAGCCCAAAGGCGGGAAAGCCCATGTGAGTCAGGGATGATCAAGCAAGGCTGCCAGGGGAGATGGCAGCTGCTCCCCCCCCCCCCGCAAAAAAACCCACGTCTCTCCTCCCTCCCTTCAGGCTGAGGTGAAGGTCCGCATGGACCTGGAGAGGCGCCTGCGGGAGGCCGAGGCGGCCTTGAGGAGCCTGGAACAAGGGCTCAACTCCAAGGTGCGGAACAAGGAGAAGGAGGAGCGGATGCGGGCTGACGTGAGCCATCTGAAGAGTAAGCTCAGCCCCGTGCCCGGCCCCTCAGCCTGCGGAGCCTGGCCCGGAGCTCATGCCCCCCGCAGGGCTGGTGTGCATGAGATGTTCTAGATGTTGGTGGCGTTTCTCCAGATTCCCGCCTGCCAGCGTCTTCTTGATGCTGCTTCCTTTCAGCTGATGGACCTGGGGAGGCGGCAGGGGAGAAAGCCTGCAGTTCTGGCCCCTCCCAGCAGGTGGCTCTGGTCTCCCAGAGGATGGGCTCTGAGTGTTTCTCATCTCCTGGCACCTGGGTCCTGGGCGGGGCGGGCCGTCCGTCCGGAGGGAAACGCGGTGAACTTGGGCTGAACTTGGGCGCAGGGTTCTTCGAGGAGTGCATCCGGAACGCCGAGCTGGAGGCCAAGATGCCGGTCATCATGAAGAACTCGGTGTACATCCACAAGGCGGCCACGCGCCGCATCAAGAGCTGCCGTTTCCACCGGCGCCGGTCCAGCACCTGGAATGACAGTGAGTGTGGGCGCCCGTGTGCCCGTGGGATGGGGTGGGCACAGGCCGCAGGGACACGGAGGCAGCGGGCAGGTGGGAGGGCTGGCCCGGCTCTGAGGCCGGGCAGTGTGGCCTTGAACCTGTCTTTTCTCCCTCCCCTTACCCCCGCCCCCCCCACCCCCCACCCCCCCACCCCACCCCCCCCCCCCCCCCGCCAGCCTTGGGCTTTTCCCAGGGTTAGGGGAGTCTGGGGGGTGGGGGGGGTGGCTGGAGAACCTCAGCAGCAGGTGAGGGAGGGAGGGAGTGGGCTGGGATGGGGGCAGGGCCATGCCTTGTGGAGGGAGGACGTCACCAGTGGCTGGGCGTCCTCTCCCCAGTGAAGCCGTCCCAGTCCTTCATGACCTCCCAGCTGGAAGCCAACAACATAGAGGAGCTGAAGGAGGTGGCCAAGCGGCTGACCCGAGACCAGCGCTTCCGGGAATCCATCTACCACATCATGGTGACCCAGCCCGGACCGCCCTCAGCGCTCGCTCCTCCCCGGGGTGGAAAGTGATGTCCGTGTCGTCGTCGTCCCCCCCCCCCCCCCCCCCCGCCCCGCTCCCTGCCTCCCAAGTCTTTCCCGGGGGACTGGGAAGACGTGCTGGGGGAGGCTGATCCCCCCTGGCTTCTCTCAGCTCTCCTCTGGGCCCGCGCCTCACCCTCAAAGGACAGGGATGCCACCTCCCTTACCACCCCTACCCAAGCCCTACCCTCGGGTCTATGCCAGCACCTCTGGGTGCTGCCCGGCTGTCAGAGTGAGGCCAGGAAGAGGCCTGGCTGCACGTGGGCGTGAGGTGGGCAAGGCCCACAGCTCTCGGTCGTGCCCAGTCTACCTCTCTGTGACTCTGCCACCTGCGGGTCCTGGTGTGGGAAGGCTTCCCCTCCCCACCTTGATCTTTGCTTCCCCGGGGGGCTCCCTAACCCTCTCTTTGCTTCAGCGACCCATGGACATCCCTCCGTCATGGGCCCTCCCGTTGACTACATTGTGAGGCAGAAAGAAAGACCTAGTGCAGCAGCTCTGGGTACAGGACACCCCCCACCCCACAGCACCACCTTTCCTGAGGCTGGGCCCTGGCTGTGGGCCCCAGCTCCCTCCCCTCCTCAGTGAGCTCACCCCTCTACAGCCTCAGACCTGTGGGGGTGAGGGAGCCCTCTCCTCCCCCTTCATCCCGCTGCTTAGGTACGGAGGGCTCTGGGCCGGCTGGGAGCCGGGCAGCCGGGACACTCAGCTCTCCCAGAGGACACAGGGCAGTCGGGGAGCGGGTGAAGGCGGCCCTGGCGGCCCTGCTCCCTCCCAGCTGCCCCTGCTTTGGTGGCCTTACTCCCACCTCGCCCTGCAGAGGCTTTGCCCAGTGAAGCCGTGTGCCCATGAACCCTGGAAGGTGGGGGCCTGGGCCGGTGAAATGGCCAGTTGCCATTGGTTGGCCCCGTGCCATCATGGGGGGCCCTGATGACATCCATCGCAGCTTTTGTGGAAAACCACCACCCTCCGTGAGGCTGAGGGCGGTGCGTGTCCCTCACCCGTGGACAGCCCACCCAGCTCTTCTCCCTCTGGGCCACCCTCCACAGCTTCCCGAGTCTGCTGGTCTCTCCAGAAAGGGTCTCTCTGGGATCAGGGGGCTCAGTATGAAAGGTGCTGATTCTCTGCTGCTTGGAAAACCGAGTGAGGAGCCCGGTCTGAGAGACAGACAGTGAAGCTAAGCTCAGTGGTCCCTCCTCAGGGGCGGGTAGACTTGGATGGCTCCCGCCAATCTCTTCAGAGTCTAGGTGGGGGCAGAAGGGGAGGCTTCAGAATCATCTAAATAAATCGGAGTCTAGCCGAAACTGGTTTGGCTCAGTGGATAGAGCGTCGGCCTGCTGACCGAAGGGTCCCAGGTTCGATTCCAGTAAAGGGCATGTACATTGGTTGTGGGCGCATCTCTGGTGGGGGGTGTGCAGGAGGCAGCTGGTCGATGTGTCTCTCTCATTGATGTTTCTAGCTCTCTATCTCTCACCCTTCCTCTCTGTGAAAAATCAATAAAATAAAATATATTTAAATAAATAGGAGTCTAAATGTAAAACCTTTAAACACACCCGAAAATAATGTATCTAATATGTATGTGGGACGGACTTTGAAATGAGGGGGAAGATGGATAAAAGCAAGATTACTGTTTTATTTTTTTGTTTCTTTGTTTTCAAAGAATTTGGTTAATAATGGTTTGCTCTTAGAGAAAGATCTTTTGGAAACTTTCAAATGAATTCTCCCTCCACGCCCCCGTCCCTCTGGGCAAATTATTAACCAGAAAGGAAAATGATTTTCCAAGCACATTCAGCAATCCCTAGTTTCTTTCCGTCTGCCTCATCCTGTACTTAACCATGCCTCACGCAAATCTGGATTCTCTTCAACCAACTGGTCAGTTTGTAAGTATTTATTTGTTAAAAAGTCACTATGTTCCTAGCACTGCAAATAGAAAAAGAGCAAAATACTATATGAAAATATGCAAAGGTGGAAATTGATTACTGGAAATATATTGATTTTTTTTTTTTTTTAACGAAACCTTTTATTCCTTGGCCTATTAAATGTTTCCTGCACTATTGCTTATGGTTGGTCATTGCTGAACAGATGTTGCCATCTGCAGGCCAAGTGTGGGATTACAGAAACGCTGGTTTGTCTTGGAACCCGCACCCAAGTTTCTCTGCTCAAGAGGAAGTACTCCCTGCTGCTGCACCTCCTCAGAGTGGCTTCTAAATGATTAACGGAGAAATATGTTCCCGCCTGAGGTCCTGGATGTCCCCATGCAACAAGGGCCATCAGCTGGGTGTTCTGATTTGAGCACAGATCGCGCTTTGGTTTTGTAAGCATGTAAGGAAGAGCAAGAAATAGTGATGACTGGCTTCTCCCATGTGGTTTACTTCCTGATGCCATATAGACAGTCTGTGCTGGGACTGTCTTGGTTTGTGCTGTGTCTCAGAATGGCTCCCCCGTTTGCCATCCTACATGTTCCAATTTGGATGACAGTTCCGTGGTCATCCTCTTTTCCCCAAGGATATGTTAATGGATGAAGCATGAAACCTTGTAAAACACGGGGTTCTGCCCCTGGGAAGGGTCCACTGTCTGTACTTGGCTCTGGAGGATGTGATTCTTGCCCCCCACCATCCTATCCCACCCACCTCCACAGACCTGGGCAGCCTGTGGGTGCTCAGGTACTATCATCGTGGAATTTGGACACACACACACACACACCCCAATCCAAGAGGAAGATGGAACAGAAACTTGCTCAAGTCTCTGGGTGTGTCGGATCTGGTATACCTAGAAGGTAGTTATTCAAACCCACCAGGTGAGGGAGCTGCTCCGGAGCCCTCAGATAAAGGCCAGCAGCCCCTGGGGAACCTTATGCTTCTGTGATGAGCCAGGATGGCGCTGTTCAGGCCCCTGAGCCACTGCAAGGGTTCCCCAAAGCGAGAAACCCTGCAGGTTTGATGGAGGAGGGGAGAGGATGGGAGGGGGGATACTGCTGTCTTCTCTTATCCCTGGGGATGGGGTGAAGGAAAGTCCTTTGCCAGGCCTTGGGAGAGGATACAGTGTTCTTGACATATAGAAACAGATCCACTCCCAGACATCCAAAGCAACTGGAAGAGGCTGGTTATTCAAACTTCCTAGCAAGTGTGGATAGGTGTGATGTAATGTTGCAGGTTCGGTTCCTGGCTCTGCACATCCCTTCTCCCCTTCCCTTCCCTAGACTTGGGCTTCCCCTCATGAGCTCCCCTCTCCATCCTGCTGGGTTAGACATGAGACTGGATGATCAGGCAATCAGGTGGGGAAGTTGGAGGAGACAGGGCTGCTCAAAGGCTGGACTTCAGGGCCCCGCCTCCAGGAGAGACCCAGGCAGTAGCAGAGCCAGCTGGTGGTGCCTTTGGGGCTCCTGCCTCACTTCCCCTGGAGGATCTGACACCTGCCTCAGGGCTAAGAGACCTGCTGAGACTCACTGCCCTCTTACCTTATGGCTGATGGGGCTCAAGGGTCACTGACCACAAGGAGAAACTTGGCTCTTGCAGAGCAGTGACCTTGTTCACTAGCAGCTTCGGGGAGGAGTGGAAGAATGGGAGGTGGGGGAGGGGGCGGGTTCTGAAGGTAAAAGGTCAGGCCTTGACTTTTCCAGCTGTGGCTTTTGCAGTCATTATTTTAAATGTCTTATATATACAGCCCGGCCCGAGTGGCTTAGTGGTTGAGCATCAACCTATAAACCAGTTGCAAGCTTGATCCTCAATGGGGGAGTGGGGCGTGCAGGAGGCAGCCAATCAATGATTCTCATCATTGATGTTTCTATTTCCCTCTCCCTTCCTCTCTGAAATCAATAAAATTAATATATTTAAAACATTAAAAAACAAAATGTCTTACATATTCACAAAATTCTTATTAAGTAGGATAAACATCTCAAATCTCACCAGCTGCTCAGAGCCCTGACAGTTCTCAAGTTCTATGATCTGGGAACTTGCAACCCTGGAATCAGTGGAACATTCTGGCTCAGACTGGATTTGGTGCCATGCTGTTATCAGATGAAATAAAAAATAATTTATTTTTATTTTAATTTTTTTTTAGTTTAGAGGTGAGAATAAGAAAGAACTGGTTTGTCACCACAAGGTAACTGTGACTAATTGCTTCTGCTTGGAAGGCTTTCCTGGGAAAGGTGTCCATTCTCACGTTCACCCTGTTGTCTGTAGCCATCTGTCAGCATTGCTTCCTCTCATCTCCATTCAATAAATACTTACCATGACTCTGTCATGAAGTCAAGCACCCACCATGTGCTTATCCCTATCACTTCCTGGTGTGTTTTATTTTATTGTGGAAAAATATACATGATATAAAAGTTACCATGTTGACCATGTAAGGCATATTCACATTATTGTGCAACCAATCTTCAGAACTTTTCATCTTGCAAACCTGAAATTCTACATCCATTAAACTACCCCCTGTTTCTCCCTACCCCCACCTTTTGGCAACATCCATCCTACTTTCTGTTTCTGTGAATTTGACTACTTCAGATACCTCATGAAAGAGAATTGCCAGTATTTGTCATGTGTGTGTGTGTGTGTGTGTGTGTGACTAGCTGGTTATTTCACTTAACACAATGTCCTTGAGGTTCATCCATGTTGTAATTTACTTCCTTTTATTAAAAAAATATTTTTTTGGTTTTTACAGAGAGAGAATGGGAGAGGGCAAGAAATGAATATTGATGTGATCTCAAACTTCAGAGGGAAAGTAGGGAAGGGGGGGGGTAAAGGGCATAAATCAACCAAAGAACTTGTGTACATGCATATGGGCCTAGCCAGTGGCCATGGACAACGGGGTGGGGAGGGGGAGGCATATGTGAGGAGGGGTTTGGGATAGGAATGGGGGGATGAGGACAATTATGTGATACCATAATCAATAAAATTTTATAAAATAGCCGAGACCGGTTGGCTCAATGGATAGAGCGTCAGCTTGGAGACTGAAGGGTCCCGGGTTCGATTCCGGTCAAGGGCATGTATTGTACCTTGGTTGCGGGCATATCCCCAGTAGGGGGTGTGCAAGAGGCAGCTGATCGATGATTCTCTCTCATCAATGTTTCTAACTCTCTATCTCTCTCCCTTCTTCTCTATACAAAATCAATAAAATATATTTAAAATTTTTTTTAAATAAAATAAAATAAAATAAAAAAGAAATATTGATGTGAGAGCTGAACAGCTGTCAGCTGCCTCCTGCATGCGCCCTCCCTGGAATGGAGCCCAGCAGCCCTGGCATGGGCCCTGACTTGGAATCCAACTGGCAACCCTTCAGTGCATGGGACGGTGCTCAACTAGCCGAGCCACGTGGGCCAGGGTAGAATTTCCTTCCTTTTCGTTTGTTTGTTTTGTTTTGTTTTTGCAACAGAGGTCAGCTTTTCTTGAATGTGTTACAAAAGAGCTAGTTTAGTCCAAAAGACCAAAGCACATGTCATCACCAGACTCCTCAGATTCTTCTTTCTTTGCCTCCACTCTCTTCTCCTCGGCTGGGGCAGTCTCGGTGGAAGGGCAGGTGAGGCACTCGCTGCAGGGCCAGGTCCACCAGCCCCTGCACTGCAGATGGGGCTCCCCGTGTTGACATTGGCCAGAGCATTTGCAAACAAGCCTGACCAGAAAGGCTCAGCGTGTACACCAGCTGCTTGAATGAGGGCGTGGCTCCTGTCCTCCCTCACCTCACTTCCTCTTTGTGCAGGATGAGGGCCCAGTAGATGCAGGAGCTCCCAGGCTGAGGCCCTGGTGAGGGTGAGTGCTGGGCGAGCGCGGCCGGGAGCCATGCTAGTCGCCGGAGGGCCTCACCCCGACTCGGCCATAGCTTCTTCGGAGGAACTCAGCACCTTACCGGCCGCGAGGAAAAGAGGGCAAATTCCCTTCCTATGTAAGGCTAAATAACATCCTGTCACTTTTCAAAAGAAAATTGATTGAGCCGAAACCAGTTTGGCTCAGTGGATAGAGCGTCAACCTGCTGACTGGGGTGTGTGTGTGTGTGTGTGTGTGTGTGTGTGGAGTCCCGGGTTCGATTCTGGTCAAGGGCATATACCTTGGTTGCAGGTACATTCCCAGTGGGGGGTGTGCAAGAGACAGCTTATCGATGATTCTCTCTCATTGATGTTTCTAACTCTCTATCCCTCTCTCTTCCTCTCTGTAAAAAAAAATCAATAAAATATATTTTTTTTAAAAAAGAAAGAAAATTTGATTGAAATCTTGTTTTTCTGACAAACTGCTGGCCAGGGTGAGAGGGGCACCAGTCTTAAAGGATAAGAATCAGAGCCCGGGGCAGTTGGGTCCCATGCTTTCCCTTTTCCAGGTTTTTCCTCACCGTGGCCTGGTGTCAATGCTTTGGTGTCACTCCCCCTTCTTCCCAGCAGATGGCAGCATGCTCAGCGCTGGGCCAGCAAATTCCAATGGAAAAGGGAGCTGTAGCTGCTGGAGACATGGGGGAGGCGGGAGGGCTTTGTGAGGCTGCCGAGGCTCTGCATTATTTGTGTTGAATCTGTTAGCTACTCTCTCCTTTAAGATATGAAACAAAAACCTTCACTTCAACCATCACTTATGATTGTATACCAGCACTTTCACATTGACTTATCTATATATATATATATATATATATATATATATATATATATATATATATTATTGATTTTTTACAGAGAGGAAGGGAGAGGGATAGAGTTAGAAACATTGATGAGAGAGAAACATCGATCAGCTGCCTCCTGAACACTCCCTAATGGGTATGTACCTGCAACCAAGATACATGCCCTTGACCGGAATCGAACCTGGGACCCTTGAGTCCGCAGGCCAGGGCTCTGTCCCCTGAGCCAAACTGGTTAGGGCTATCTTTTTTGTTCTCACAACATCCCTCTCCTTGATTTATACAATAGATAAATGAAACCCACAGAGGCTAAGGGATTTGCCTAATGTCACACAGCTTCTAAGTGGAGGTTCAGGTCTTTAAGTTAAAGATCAATGTGCTCCTCTTTCCTCCTCCTCCTCCTCCTTATCCTCCTCCTCCTCCTCCTCCTCCTCCTCCTCCTCCTCTCTCTCTCTCTTTTCTCTC